GGCTGGTGTGGGGTGAAAATCCTCCACCTCAGACGTTCAGAGATGTAACTATCTGCGATACTGTGGTCACTTTCCATGATGTTGCATCAATCATGCTAATGCTAGCTGCCTGTCACGTTCTCTCGTCCTGGCCACACCTCCGCTCTCTAACCCCCCTTCCTCTACCCACACCCCCTCCCCTACCCACTTTGATGCATTTTTCAAATTTCGCCTTGGGGCGGAGTTATCTTTTCACAGGGGGGGTAAGTTACACTTTTTTATTTCCTTTATTTAACCAGGAAAGTCCCATTGAGATTAAAAACCTCTTTTTCAAGGGAGTCCTTTAAGGATCTCCTACCATTTCAGACTCTCCCACTTGAGCACATCTTAACAACAATGCTTAGGGTTGTTTACAACCTTTTGTAGGAGAAAAGTCCAACCATTGATGAACTGTGTCATCCTCAGGAATTGTGAAAAGAGGTTAGTCTCCTTGGCATCAAAACTCACATTTCCTCGATGAAGGCATTGTTCAATCTAGAAAGGACTGGACTGAGAAGTATTAGTATTGGTATTAGTAGATAATAGCTAGTATTACAAGCTTAACAAACATGCAGTTGCACAAGGTATTTATTTGTTGCTGCTGCTAGCCTGGTGGCGCTGTGTGGGAGAGGGGTGCTCTGTGGAGCTCAGCTGCAGACTGAGCTCCAGGGAGGAGMTTTCCACAAATAGGCGGTGCTTTGTACCAGCAAATGTTTAGTCATCTCCATATGGCTACCACAGGAGATTCAATAGCAGTGTTTCTATTCAATTTGCATTCGAATTTTGAGCAAATTTTTAAAATTTCAAAAAAGAGGGGTAGAAGAAATACGAATCAGACGTGTTTCCATCAACTGGCTTGAAGCAAATCAGTTACGTCAGACGTATGTGTGTAGTAAACAGGAAGTAAAAGTCACATCTCAGGGAAATGGAGAGAAGTTATCAGAAACGTGTTGCTACTATCGGGAAAGTTGTAATTATTCTGTCATATCAACTAGTTCTGGCGATGTTACTGCTGTCTGGAGACATWGAGAAAGAAATGCGATTCTCTTCCATCTCTCCTTTTGCGCATTAACTGTCATGATTTGTCATTTTCCACCTTGGTTTTCCTTGTGTTTCTATGTTCCCCAGTGTGTCTCAGTCCAGCTGGCCCTCATTTGTTTGATTAGTCACCCTCGTGTTTCTCACCAGGTGTTCTCAGTTTGTCCATTAGCTGTCRGTGTATTTAAGTTCTGTCTTGTCTCAGTCTGTTGTCAGATCCTTGTTTGCTGTTTGTGCTCATGTCATGTCATGCCTAGTCAAGTTTTTGTATTACCAAGTCAAGTTTTTGTATTACCAAGTCAAGTTTTTGTATTACCAAGTCAAGTTTTTGTATTACCAAGTCAAGTTTTTGAATTTAGTTTGCTGTCACATCAGCTTCTTGTTTTCATTTATTAAACATTTTTGCTACCTGACTCAGTCCTGCATCTGGGGTTCATACCAACCTTGCCAACACATTACAGTAGGATCTGACCAGACTTGAACCCCGCAGGCTGAGGTGAGAATTTTTTATTTTTTTATTTTTTGTTCCATCTTCTGGAGGG